GCGCGTGTGCACATATATATGTACACGCGTGTGTGTGATTTCACGCACGCATGCGTACGCTCGCGTATATATTTGTAGAGCGTATATATATTTTCTCTATAACATATGAGGGGTGTATATATGTTTTTTTCTATAAAAAATTGTGTCTTTGATTTATTTATTTTCTTGTATATATATGTGTATATATATGTATATATATATATATATATATATATATATATATATATATATATATATATATATATATATATATATATATATATATATATATATATATATATATATATATATATATATATATATATATATATATATATATATATATATATATATTAATTTTCCTTTGGATATTTTGAGACTTTTGAAGAAGTTGATTGAATTTTGAAATTGAAATGTCTGAGATTTTTCACTATTGGAATGAATTGAAAAATTAGGTGACAACGACTACTCTTGTAAAGACCGAGTGTTGAGTGTAAGAATTACGTTCAATAGGTTTACTTTTACGAGAATTTTTGTTCAGATTAATTTGCATATGTGTTTTAATTGTTTCGTGGTTTACATGTGCAAAACGAGAATTAGAGGCCCAAGAAGGAAAAATACAATTTCGGATGCACAATCAACGTTTGGACGAAGAAATCCCGCTTATCAACTTTAGCAATGCGCACAGTTTCGGTCAGAACATTGAAATCTTAATGTAGTATCTTCATATACTGCATTATGTTTTAAAAAATAGGAGTTTGTATGCTTCCTAACATAATTAATTCTTTACATGAATTTTTTAAAAAATACAATTTATAGTTAAATCTAAGGGCATTTGATATACATCCCTAGAATGGAAAATATATTGGGATAGGTCCACTCTTAAAATTATTTCTTTCAGATACACCCCTGGACATGCAAAAGTACTATTGTGCCCTTAATTGTAATTTTCGCCCAACAACATTCAGCATTTTGCCAACTACATTCAGCATAATAACCAACCGCATTTAGCATTTTTGGACCTGCATTTATCATTTTTTCAGATTTTTTAATAAAAAAATATAAATTTTTATTTTATTATTATTTTTCATTTTTCATTTTTTATTTTTTATTTTAATTTTTTATTTTAATTTTTTATTTTAATTTTTTTAATTTTTTTAATTTTTTAATTTTTTTAATGTTTTTAATTTTTAATTTTTTTTAATTTTTTTTAATTTTTTTTAATTTTTTAATTGTTTTTTTAATTTTTAATTTTTTTTTTAATATACAAAAATAATTTTCCTATAAAGTTTCCTGTACATAAATTGATTACAGATGACTATAGTATATATAGTCATGTACCTTTTTTTTACTCCAAAGTTATACATAGTCATGTACCTTCTTTTCACCCCAAAATTATATAGTTATATATAGTCGACCGACTATGCAGACCGCTGATTATATAAAAAAAAAAAAAACTTCATCGACACCAACAAAAATCACAATTTAATTCTTGATATTATGAATCAACTTGTACAAATATAGATCAAAATACACCATGCATATGTTCTTCAACAAAGAACAAATCATCATCATCAATCAGTACCGAACAAAAAATTGAAAAAATACAATCATCAACATGTCTACACATCAAAAAAACCACATAGCTTATATATATATAACTATATATGACTACATGTTACTACACGTGACTATATATAACTACATGTATATGACCATATGTGACTATACGAGTATAGTCAGATATAATGTAGTTTGTAGTTTATAGCTCTAAGACGAGAACGGCTTGTTTTGAACGACGAATACAAAGTCCACTCTGCAAAAACTTAATACATAGTAGCTCAAACACCAAGACCTGCGAAAAAGAAAAAGAGTTGAGCAAACAACGAATTTTGCTTCAAATTTGAATCTGCACACACACACACACACTATCACCTACTGATATACATATACATCACCAGCATATACTCCCCACATAACTCATACATGACTACATGTTACTATATAGTAAAAATCATAAATCATAACTTTCAAGGGATAAAAAAAATGGACCTAAAAGATTCACCAATTGGCATACAAAATTTCATTTAATTACGACATGCATGTCATAATCGACTACATGAAAATACAAAAGAACATGATTTTTTTTTTTTGATAAATTTACCGTACTGTAATCGACTACAAATGACTATAGTATACTACAAGTTCTATAGTCATGTATAGTTATATGTATCCATGACTATACATGGCTACATATATGACTGTATATGGCTACATATAAATGTATATTCACCTGACCCAAATCACCCATCTAAGTAACCACTACTGATTAAGTTTCTAATACAGACAAACAAAACTCTCACACTTGAAACATTTCGGATCATCTTCAAATAAATACAAAAAATAAAAGATATATGATTTATAACATAAATGAACAACATAAGAATCAAATAAAATAAAATATTAAATTAATTCAAAGAAAAAGACTTTAATATTAATTGTTCACATAGCTTAAAAAACATAGTAGATCTGATTTTTTTTTTTATAAAAAATAGTAGATCTGATTTGAGCCCTCCCTCAACCAAAGATAAAGAAGAAACTAAAACAATAATGTAGAAACCATTTCATCAAACGGAAGTAGAAAGAGATTTTAAACGAATTTAAAACAAACAAACCTTCATCCATCATGTTTTTGGCATCATCGAGTCTATTCGGTTTGGACGGGTAATTCAAGGCGGCGATTGGCGTCGAGCACGCGAAAAGTGGCGGCGGCGCAAGACTGTGGGAGAGCAGCGACGGCGGTGCAAGGGGATGGGGGGAAGCAACGGCGATGGCCGGCGCAAGGCGGTGGGGAGCAGAGGTGGCCGCAGAGAGCTATGGGCCGGAGAGAGAGAGTGAGTTAGAGAGAGAAAGAAGAAAGAGAGAGGGAGAAAAAGAGAGAGAGAGAGAGTGAGAGTAACGGGAAAGTGAGAGAGAGAAAGAAGAAAGAGAGGGAGAAAAATAGAGAGATGAAGTGAGAGTAACGGACGGGATAGTAAGGTTTGTGGAAAAGAAAAAAAATGGGTTAGGATTTGAATTGTAACTAAAAGGGTAAAATATGTATTTCAATTTGTTCAGGGGTTCTGTCAAATTAGAATTATAATTTGGATTTTTGACTAGGGAAGAAAAATCGATTAAACCTATCCATATTTATTTTTCAAAACTAGAAGGTAATCCCACCTTTCCCCTAAATCTAAATTTCTGTAGGTTTCTAAGTGCATATCAATATATCATAATTCATAAGCATGCATATAAAGTTAATGCAAAAAAAAAATCTTTCATTTTAGACACCTACAATTTTTTCAGACACGTACACATTTAATTTTAAGATAATTATTTTTTCATTATATAGTTATTTGATTAAATAAATTTTATAAATTTAATAATGTAACTATAGTAATAACAAATATATAAATTATTTAAGGGGCTTTTTGATATAACCCCTCAATACTTCTTTTAATAGGGAGAGACCCAAATTATTTTGTACCATTTGAGAAAAACCCTTTCCTAATTTCAGCGCCCTATTTTTCCAATTATGCCCATGTCACCTCATCAACACTATAACCAATTATGCACCTGCCATCTCAGGTTTTTTTTTTTTTTTTTTTTTTTTTTTTTTTTTTTTTTGATTTTTTATTTAATTTTATAAATTTTTTTTTTCATTTTTTAACCTTTTTTTTTTCTCTATCAGGTATATTAATCGACTATGAGATATAAGCATAGTCGATTAAGAATCTGACTCTTAAAAATAACAAATCACAACTATAAAATAATACAAAATCAACTATATTTTACAAAACAAAACATATACAAACATTGTAATTGATCTATAAAATTGAAATCAATAAATGAAAAAATAAAAAATAAAATAAAATGGGAGTTGATTGACCTTAATCGACTAACATAGCATAGTCGATTAACTTAATCGACTATTGAAAACGTACATAGTCGACTAATTCCAGCCTGCGCGGATTTCTCTACCCGCGCCGTTATCCGTCCGATCCACCAAAAAAACCTAAATCTACCTTGCCATTGTCACCACACCGCCGCCACACCACACTTTATCAACCATAGTGGGAGTTCGATCTCCCAGTATCCCAGTTTTAAGAACTGAAATCCTCTATTCACGACTTTACTGAAAAACTCCATTAAAATATAACAAGCAGAAAAGAGAAAAA